TTTTGGGTGTATATACTACGTACTGTTTCCCTCCGTCAGTACCAGAAGCAGCCACAGCGGACGAACATTATTTAGGGTATTAACACATCTGAACGAACACTAGGTTATAAACAATTCTGAACGAACACTAGGCTATGAGCACGTATGCACGAACGCCATGTCCTGCCAACGACCGGGTGTATATGAACACATATCTCAGTTAGGAACACGTATGAACAACCATGACCATGTATGAACGATCACTGTCTAATCTATGAACAGGTCTAGACGAACATTAAGTATAGCCTATGAAAGCGTCTGAACAAACATCAAATTTATCCTACGATCATGTCTGAGTGAACATCGTCTTGCCCACGAACACGTCTGAACGCACATGCTAAACAGAATGTCTCACTTTTTTTTGAATACAGTGACTGCCTGTTTTTCCGCTTTTCGTGAGTGAGAACTTTCTCCGAGACAGCAAGTGATTACCGCTTTCTTGTATTCATAAGCCATGACAATATCACCGTGATTGGTGTGACAGCATGACAGGTGACTTAGAGACTGCATAGCAAATGCCTGATCAACAATATGATCGGTGACTGACAGCTACATGTTACAATATAACAAATGTATGAGTGAAAAAGGGTTGGATGGAAGGATCAACCCAGCGTGAACCAGTAGCACGAAATGCTTTGCATACTAAGGGATTTTCTGCATGCACACCTAAGTGTCACCCCACTTCTGTACAAACATTCTATCATGTTAAAATAAAGAATTGTTGAAGATCAGAAAAAGTTTGACGCAATCAGTCCCTCAGCCTGGAGTCGATGTAATCAGTCTATTGGACTGATGTCGATGTAATCAGTCCATTGAACTGATGTTGATGTAATCAGTCCATTGGACTGATGTCGATGTAATCAGTCCATTGAACTGATGTCGATGTAATCAATCCATTGGACTGATGTCGATGTAATCAGTCCATTGGACTGATTACATCGACTCCAAGTCAGTATAGGACTGATGAAGCCACTGTGTGGCGAAACATTTCCACAATAAAGATACCCAAGTGTTGTACATGTGTCTAATTTATCATTACCGGTCATTGACTACATGTCTGGCAGAAGAACATCTCGACACACTCACACGGACCGACTACACAGAGTCCTGTTATATAAATTTCTTTCACTAAACAGAATAAATATTTTTTTAACATCTTAAGGGATTTAAAATTAAAGGAAATAATATCAGTAATTAAAGTAATTTTGGTGCTCCAGTGTTTGTTGCATGCGTGCGTGCGTGCGCTCGCTCGCGTATGTGTGTGTGTGTACATATTTTTATATTATTCCTGAGCTGCAAAAAAAAATTGTAAACCAAATAAATAAATATGAGTCTTTCAGAGTAAAAAATACTGAAAAATAGTATAATGTGAAGAATAACAGATGCCATAGGCGAGGGTGTGTACTCAAGGTAAAACTTGTTAATGTATCATTAACACCGCGGGTTCACGAGCACATCGCTAAAAATGAAGGAGAAAAATATATATCACGATGGATAAGACCATCATTCTGTGTAATCTCCAACCTTCCATGTAAGTATGCGCTCAAACACACACACACACACACACACACACACACACACACACACACACACACACACACACACACACACACACACACACACACACACACACACACACACACACACACACACACACACACACACACACACACACACACACACACACACACACACACACACACACACACACACACACACACACACACACAAGCACACACACACACACACACACACACACACACACACACACACACACACACACACACACACACACACACACACACACACACACACACACACACACACAAGCACACACACACACACACATCTCACGTCAGACTTTCAGAAGGAAATTGCACTTTAACTGACGTATTTACACACATAAATATGCCATTTAAAGTACGTTGTACGTTGTTCCCCCACGCTGCCTTCAGTACTCTCACTCTCAATAACCCAGTTCTCTAACTTTTTCCCACATCATCATTATCCACTACTATCTTCAACAGTCTCCTTTAATTCTTGGCAACTCGTAATTCCTTCCTCTTCCCCTTCCCCATACATTATTACGTTTCTTACCTTCCTTTCTTGTATCATTTTCTCTCCACTTAACCGTGAAAAAATCCAGTTTCGTGTTTAGCAGAAGTAAAATGAAGGAATTCCATCAACTTCATACACAACTCTAAACCTAGCAGTATTTTTTCTTACAGAATTTTCTTCTTCTTTCGCTGGAATTTTCGTAAATGATATTTTCCTTTTAGTATATGACTTTAATTACATGATTACATCATGGATTGAAACTTTCACAAGCAGTTGCAATCATTTCACAAGATGGAAAGACCAATGGAAGCTGCTTGCGTGATGGGAGTCTAACTGCTAGTAGTCTCTGTTTAGTATTTAAGACTTAATAAGACTGTTAGCAAGACTCGGTAAGATTGTGTCAACAAAACTCGATAAGACTATGTCATCAAGACTCGGTAAGACTATGTCAGCAAGACTCGGTAAGACTATGTCATCAAGACTCGGTAAGACTATGTCAACAAGACTTGGTAAGACTATGTCATCAAGACTCGGTAAGACTATGTCATCAAGACTCGGTAAGACTATGTCATCAAGACTCGGTAAGACTATGTCAGCAAGACTCGGTAAGACTATGTCATCAAGACTCAGTAAGACTATGTCAACAAGACTCGGTAAGACTATGTCATCAAGACTCAGTAAGACTATGTCAACAAGGCTCAGTAAGACTATGTCAACAAGACTCAGTAAGACTATGTCATCAAGAGTCGGTAAGACTATGTCAACAAGACTCGGTAAGACTATGTCAACAAGGCTCAGTAAGACTATGTCAACAAGACTCAGTAAGACTATGTCATCAAGACTCGGTAAGACTATGTCATCAAGACTCGGTAAGACTATGTCAACAAGGCTCAGTAAGACTATGTCAACAAGGCTCAGTAAGACTATGTCAACAAGGCTCAGTAAGACTATGTCAACAAGACTCGGTAAGACTATGTCATCAAGACTCAGTAAGACTATGTCAACAAGGCTCAGTAAGACTATGTCAACAAGACTCAGTAAGACTATGTCAACAAGACTCGGTAAGACTATGTCAACAAGACTCGGTAAGACTATGTCAACAAGACTCAGTAAGACTATGTCATCAAGACTCGGTAAGACTATGTCAACAAGGCTCAGTAAGACTATGTCAACAAGACTCAGTAAGACTATGTCATCAAGAGTCGGTAAGACTATGTCAACAAGACTCGGTAAGACTATGTCAACAAGGCTCAGTAAGACTATGTCAACAAGGCTCAGTAAGACTATGTCAACAAGACTCAGTAAGACTATGTCATCAAGAGTCGGTAAGACTATGTCAACAAGACTCGGTAAGACTATGTCAATAAGGCTCAGTAAGACTATGTCAACAAGGCTCAGTAAGACTATGTCAACAAGACTCGGTAAGACTATGTCATCAAGACTCAGTAAGACTATGTCAACAAGGCTCAGTAAGACTATGTCAACAAGACTCAGTAAGACTATGTCATCAAGACTCGGTAAGACTATGTCATCAAGAGTCGGTAAGACTATGTCAACAAGACTCAGTAAGACTATGTCAACAAGACTTGGTAAGACTATGTCATCAAGACTCGGTAAGACTATGTCATCAAGACTCTGTAAGACTATGTCATCAAGACTCGGTAAGACTATGTCATCAAGACTCGGTAAGACTATGTCATCAAGACTCGGTAAGACTATGTCATCAAGACTCGGTAAGACTATGTCAACAAGGCTCAGTAAGACTATGTCAACAAGACTCAGTAAGACTATGTCAACAAGACTTGGTAAGACAATGTCATCAAGACTCGGTAAGACTATGTCAACAAGGCTCAGTAAGACTATGTCAACAAGACTCAGTAAGCCTATGTCAGCAAGACTCGGTAAGCCTATGTCAACAAGACTCGGTAAGACTATGTCAACAAGCCTTGGTAAGACTATGTCATCAAGACTCGGTAAGACTATGTCATCAAGACTCGGTAAGACTATGTCATCAAGACTCGGTAAGACTATGTCATCAAGACTCGGTAAGATTATGTCATCAAGACTCGGTAAGACTATGTCATCAAGACTCGGTAAGACTATGTCAACAAGGCTCAGTAAGACTATGTCATCAAGACTCAGTAAGACTATGTCATCAAGACTCAGTAAGACTATGTCATCAAGACTTGGTAAGACAATGTCAACAAGACGCCACCACACGTGAATGTACTAGTAACTAGTGGGTCTCCCCAGTCTGTTCATCTTTCAAGAAGTGACCTCGTATATAATTTCCTATATCGTTTCTTGTTTGCTATGCTTGGTGTATAATGTGTGAAAAATATTATGCATAGAGAAGTTCATTCCATACATGAAAGTTTATTACATAAGTTCATTCCTCACATGGAAGTAAATTTTCTCGTTGTAATGTTTTTAGCATTTTTTATTTATTCCCATTTATTTCTTATGCTTCCTTCATAGTTCAGCGCGTGGCTGGCGTGTTCACTACATAATATCACTGATGTATCCATCTTCCTTTGACACAAAAGTGCTGAAACACATTGTTGTAATTATTAACACTTTACTTACAAGTTAGGAGTTAACTACATGCTAGCACTACTGTGCTGTATGTACACCAACACACGTGGTCGGTGGGTTGGGCAGTGCTGTGGGTGGGGTGGTGATATGGATAGGTGGGCAGGTTAGAGGAGCATCTCCTCAGATGATACCTATCAACAAGTCTTTCCTCGCAAAAACTGGTCATAGTGAATGGGGAGGGAAGGGACTGCAGAGGTCAGAAGGTCGGGCGTACGGGAAGAGGGGAGGAGGAGTGGGACATTTTAGACAGTGACCTCCTATCCACGCCCCCACGTGAGGTCACACCGGGTCAGGTCACACACACTCACCGATGTTAGCCACAAATGCGACCCATAGAAGCAGAGAGCGGGCCATGGTGTGGGTGCGGCCAGTACGTACTCGCGCGCCGGGCCACAACGACCACACTATATACCGGCCTGTGAACGCGCATGCGCACTCTTCTCTCTGGTCAACACTTTCACTAACGCCTACACCACCACCGTCGACACACCCACCTCCTCCAACTACCCGAAACACACATACGCAGGTGTCATCCCAAGGACGGGGCCCTATACGCTGAACGCATCTACTTCGGGTCAACAAGGTGGGACGCTCTGCCCGATCTGCCCGATCTGCCCCGCGCCCTCACCAGATCCCTCACCCAGGCACCCCGCCTCCTCCCTACCCCGCCTGGCACTTTCCTCTGTTCAAGCCTCACCCACAACACAGGGTGAAGATCCTTGGGGTCCTTGTCATTGAAATAGTGGACACTGAGGGGAAGGCTGCTGTGCCATGTAACAGTTGGGTATCTTTATTGTTAAAATGTTTCTCCTGTATAACAGGTAAAACAGTGTGCAGGCGATAAAGATATCCAAGTGTTGCACGCGTGTCTTACTCTTAGTGACCTATTGTTTCAGACACCTGAAGGTTACCCGAAGACGATTTCGGTTCTTCGCCTGTTCCCTCTCCAAGGCTTACCTAATGGGGTCTTTCTTGGAATCATTGTAATACATTGTATTACTGATGTACTGGGCTCAGTAAAACATTGGTATTTCGTACTACTCTTCCCACACAAATTAGCACTGTGGGACCATTCTTTATGTATTGAAGCCTGAAAACACTCCTCTCTATCATGTTAACCTGCTTGTGGGGATGCCTGACTCTTGGCTTCATATAAAGAAGTATAGAAAATAGGAGTCCTCAGGTTGTACATCAACTATATATATCCTCGGTAAGTCCTCATTAGTTTATGTTGCGCAAGTTTCGTCAATAAATTTAATATACCGCGTGTTGAACAGGTATCTTACTCATCACCAACTGAGGATCAGGAGCATTAACTTATTAAAACCAACAGTCAGCATCCTTATTCTAGCAAGACCAACAGATCAGAAGTCTTATCCTAGTAGCATCAACTCGAACACATCCTGAGACCTAAACCATTAAAGACCTCATCCAAGCCTCAGTAATTAATCATGATAAGAAAAATTACCTGAACAAGTAACAATAAGTATGAAATAAAAGTATGAAATAAAAAAAACAATTGTAATTAAAGATAAGAATATGAGAATAGATTAGCACTGAAATGGATCTGAGTATCATAATAACACCCACCCATACTTACTCATGTTTATGTCTACACTGTTTTTAAATCTATCTAAAATGTTATAAGTAAGCAAGTAAGTAAGTAAGTTTATTCAGGTATACACAAATACAGTTACATAGAATTATCATACATAGCAGCATATGTGGAGAGAACCTGGGATAACCCAAAAAAGTCAGACAGAGTGACTTATTTCCATTGGGTCCTTTCAGTTCAATAACACTATTTGGGAGTTTGTTCTACACATTGGCAAGTATATAGCCAGAACAATACTTTCATAATATATACATATCCTTTCTAAATCTAAATTTAGATAAACTATGATTCATTCCTAAAAGTTTTTTCTTGGTTAAACATTTCTAGCACCATTTCTACTTTCTTTATTCTTATTATCTACTGTTACACTTAAAACATGATCTTTCCAAATTTGACATCTCTCCAGAGAGTGCAGGTTTAGTGCTTCTAATCTAATTTCATAGGTAACATTTTTGATTCAGATAATTAACTGTGCCATCTTTCTCTGTATGCTGGAGAACTGTGCCGTGTAGTCTAAATGAAGTGTTACCAGCGTTGTATATGCTGGAAAACTGTGCCGTGTAGTCTAAATGAAGTGTTACCAGCGTTGTATGTGCTGGAGAACTGTGCCATGTAGTCTAAATGAAGTGTTACCAGCGTTGTATGTGCTGGAGAACTGTGCCATGTAGTCTAAATGAAGTGTTACCAGCGTTGTATGGAGCTGTCTTATATTACTGGGACTTCTGTTACTTCTATACTACTTTACACGAAGCTAAGAAGTATTAGCTTTATTGTGAACTCTTATGACTGTTATATCATAAGAGGAACTCTTAAGTTCTTTAAATCGGCTTGATTTGAGTTCTGTATTATTTAGTTTATAAGTATCGCACTCATTTTATTTTCCAAGCTTAGTTACATTCATCCACATTGACTTGCATCTGCCCTAGTAATAACTGACAAGCGTTGAAAATGTGAAGCCGATCGGATAAGGCGTGCGGTAGTTATAAACGAAGGACCTGAAGGATGTTAGTGGAAGACACAAACACTTTACCTAATAATGTACCGCCTCTGGCAATGTCATACAAACAGGTTCATTAAACTTTCGAAAATTAAAAACAAATAAAAACGCTAGTTTTCAATATTTCTACACATTTAAGTTCTATTCTATTTAAAATTCTCTACATCCTCTAAGAAAAAACGTTTGACTTTGTGTATTTTAAGAAAATCTAACGATAAAATTCTATAAAATTAGTAAATTGGCACAGACACTTACAGTTAAGATATATCAAGTTAAGATACATAATGTGTTTGAAATGGACCAGTAGAGGTATTCTCTAGTTATTCCATGTATGCCAGTTTATTTTAAAAAATAGCAGTTTAAAATTTACGTAGACCAAAGCGAAAGCCAAACTTTCTTTAAACAAAGCCCAATAACACTGCCTTTTCTGATAGGTTTCAGGCTTTTATTCTCCAGTAATTGTCCTGAAAGCAATGCTTTCATGTTTTTTAACAATATTATTACAGTTTCAGAGTTGCACTTGAAGGGTGTTATCCTTCTTTCGGAATGCATCAGTCGTGTTAATAATTTGAAACCGATAAGAAATGGTATTATTAAATTACCGAGTGGAAATCAATATCACTGTTTATTTAGTAAAACTGGGAAATTGGGTCTTTATAATCCAGTAGCAACGTGAACCTTGCTGTCTGAAAAAACACCAATGCTGAAAATCTGAAGCTGAGAAAAAGAGGCATTCTTCAATTATCGCATGGATTTCAACGATTCAAAATATTATAAACTAATTTAGTACATTGACAAATTTGCCTGCACTCACTAAACTGAATGGGAGCTATCCTGGCCGTAAGATGCATCAACCTTGAGGTTATTCAGAAGAGATGGAATCAAATATGTTTAACAAGATATAACGGGAATGAAAGTTTTACACTGTTTTACAGGAAATTGGCAGAAGTGCACCTACACACTTGAATTTCACTCTTCACCGTCATCGTCGAATTTTGGGACACCCTTATTTAATGTTTGAAGCTGAAGCTACGTCACTGAGAGTTTGTGAAGTTATCTGAGCCACTCTAGGATGCTGGGAATGGATTCAAGAATCTTGGTCATAGGGCAACTGCACATGCCAATTGCTCCTAGAATCTTGCCCTAGATACCGTACACCAGCGTCGAAAATTAGATGAGGCCCTCTTGTGTTATGAGCTAAATTAACACGAAAAGTTGGAGGAAAAAAATAATTGAGACAACCACTTAAAAGGTCTCTCCGATGAGCCTAATAAAGGCAATGCACTCATCTCATCACCGTCCATGTGTAGGGGTGTCCTGTATTGGGGGGGAGGGTGACGTATTTGTAAGTGACTTTTTTGGGGTGAACTGTGAAAGGAGTTGCTTGTTTGGAGATGACCTGTGCCGGGAGGGGGGTGACTTGTGCGATGATACATGATAATTGTGTGGGGGTGTGATGTGTAGGGGGTGTGATGTGTGGGGGATGAGTTCTGTGACATGGGATGGTGGTGATCCGTATAATGAAACACTGGTAAAATGAAACATTGGTGTTGTGATACAAACATGGGAGTGGTATTCAGGTTTTCGTTCTGTCATGAAGATCACGTGTTTGGATGGTGGGCGACTCGCATCTTTATTATTTGAAAAACAGTGTAGCTTCACATGATTCATTTTGCATAAATGATTTATTTTTATTCAAGATACACCATATGTGAGTTGTATGGTATTATATGAAAGGTGATGCTGTTAAAAAAAATTATTATGTAAAGCTGTTATTTTTTTACTATGAAAATTAGCACTTGGTGATATCTTATTAAATATATGTTGTCCCACGTATACTTATACATTCGCCAAAGTTATGCTAAACTTAACCGTAATGCACAAAAAGAAATAAAATGAGGCAGTAGACGACGTTAACGTAGATTAGACCATCAAGAGTATGTATATCAAGAAGTGTGTGTCTCTTAGTGTATATACACTGAGATTTTACTTTAACTTTATTTTAGGGAATTTTACTGTTCTTAACTGGTGTCAAACAGGTGATATTCAGCCATAATGACCTTTGTGTCATTAACCAGCCAACTACATTAGACTGTTTGTATTTCGCCAGCACTAATATTGGAATAGGTCGTCTGTCAACATCTTCATTTAAGATGTCGCTGAGTTCATCATCACCTCCGCATTCTCATATCTCTGTGTACTTAGTATAAAGTTCAAATATTGAAGCAGGAATAGCGGGCATTCGACGCACTAGAGGCTATATCTCTAACATGTTTCCCTCCAAGATTTGAAGGTGATGAGAGTTGGAGATACTGGTGAATGTTTTGATGCTACTGAATTACCTGTGGGTTAGCCCTTATTATAATAAAGTGTAGAAATTATATTTTGGTGAATGGCTGTCACCTTGACATTATTTCTTTGTAAGTAGCTGCTACTTGCATCACCAATGTCTGTCAATTTTGTTTATGGTGCTTACACTTGAAAAAACATTTTGTTTTATATGCATTATCTTGTAAGAATGACTGTGAACTTTCCAGTAATTACCTCAAAAACTGAACAATATCCCTTGTTGAGATTAAAGCATTCCTCATCGCTTTACCAGCAAATGATGCTGTGATCTGGAAGCCTGGCAACGCAGAACCTATTTTAGAAGTCCAGATGCTTGATAAATAAGACGAAGGCTCACAACACCTGCTTATGTCATGCCCAATGACAAGTCCTGAATCTGGTAAAAGCATAAAATATCTACACAGGTAACTATTGCTTGTGAGGAAGATCTAAGGACATTTGATCCCGATTTTGCCACTCGGTTAGACTTGCCGATGTCAATGATTTCAACATAATTTTGCTCATATATTCCTTAGTCCTCTTTCGTTTGATATTTTCATTTTCCTTGAAATACATCAGAAGAACATTTGAAATTAATTCAATATCACTTCACCTCCAGCTTCGTGAAGTGAATATTATTTCTAGAATGATCTTTGCATCTTGATATAAGAATGCGAGTTAGTTGCTGTATTATAGGTTTTTGTTGACTGATATCAGATGTATTTCAATGAACTTTCCTTGTTGATTCAGTGTTATAGCTACACTGTCGTCCATATATCATTTACGACAGTGACATATACATTCCTTCTAAGATATCAGTGCTGAAGAACTTTC